TCAGTTCTTATGGAACATAAATTCAATAATTTATTTGACAGTACCATATGCCTTCAGATTATCGTGCATAAAAAATTTGTTTTATAATTAATCATGCGAAAATTTTTTATCAAAGTCCAGTTCTCAAAATTAGATATCTTTTTTATCTTTATAAAATTTATTCGTTTATTTGTGCATAGTAAACTTTATTTTAAGATAAAAATTAGTAAATCAAGTAAACTAAGAAATCGGACGTGAGTTGATAAAAGTTTTTTCATGCAGCTCAACAAACAATATATAGAAGAAATTATAAACTTAAACACAATGATTTCATATAATTTTGTATCTTCATTGAAAACTATTCAACAAATGTATTCATAATGTAGAAGAAATAAATTAGATAATTCTTGATCGAAATTTATTTCTCTTCTACTTGTCGATAACTATTGATTTTAGTTGAAAAAAAAAATAAAACCAGAATTTGACATTTAAAAGAATTTTTATTTTTTTTTAGCAAAAAAAATTAATTGAAATTAAGCGAACTATATGAAAGTGGTGAAATTGACTTGAATTCGCATTTGTAATTTCTTCAGATTTTGGTGTATAATTGACAAATTGAATAAGTTACACGATAAATATGATATTCAATGAATGTTCTTTTTCACTTTTTTTAAGTGGAAATAATGTTCCCTTATTTGTTTATCATTAACTGAGGTGAATTTTATCGTAGGTCGATTTTTGTATAACTGGTTTGTATAGAGTCTTTTTGGACAATCAATCGATTGCTTTTGTACGTAGGAGGCCTGTGAAGTTGAAAAGCAAAAATGAATATCCCCAATTTTGTTTTTAAAAGAACTGTTTCCAAGCAGTACAATTCACATACATTATATTATGTTCAACAATTACTTTCAACAAAACTCAAAAGGAATACCAGTTTACTCTCTTTTATCGATACATTTCATTGATGAACAGACTTGATAGTACATTTTATTCTAACTTAAGATAAACATCTGTTGAACTTTATTCCATGACAAATCTAAAATAATTCATTTTAATGATATTTTAGAAGAACTTTAAGTTATCTCCAAAAACTTAGTAATTAAAACGAATATTCTTTGTCTAGTGAAGCACACGTCAGTAGAAAAAATTGAGAGTGAAATCAAAAACAATGATGAAAAGAAAAGTTTTATTTCTAAAAATACAACTCACTGGTGTAATTTTTATTACTAGTTTAATGATGCGATGTGTAATAAAATTCATTTCAACAAACATCCAATGCAGCAGGATTTTATTATTCTTATTTTTTTGTAAAAATCACTTACAATTTTTATATGCTATGTAGTTTTTTGATTAGTTTCAATTGACTATATTTATTCATATCTTTACGGTTAAATGTCATTTATATTGTTTGTTAGAAAAGCTAAACGTTAAAACTATGACTTTTTTTTATATATGAGATTCGTATAAGATTACTAAACTAATTTATCTGGAAATATAAACATTTTTTTGATAAACTCGTTATGCTTATAACTCATGTGCCTACAGTATGCCTTGTACTTATTATTTATTAAAGAGAATGTTACTACATGACTATTTGCTTGTTTGTAACTTCATGGTGTCATGTTTAATTTTTTATTCAAAGTTAACATGTACCTGTGAATTTATGTTATTCAATAAGACTTAAAACAACTGAGCAGGTAATCTGTTCAGTGAATGGACAAATGATATGGGATAATTAATCTTTGACTAGTTTGAACACTTCTAATGTAGCATCAGCACACTTGACGTATCTATTGAAATTCTTTTTCTCTTAACGGTTAATGTTTTGACTGGCGTACACAAAAGGATGATAAGGAATACTAATAAGATGATCTCACTTCTAAAGAAACTAATCAGACATACTGAAGATTGACGAATTGTATATAATTGTTATGTAGTATTATTTGAGAAGTTTCTCTAAAGTTTGCCATTACTGTTGTTTTTATTCTAGCATATTATTTGTGAATGTTTTAATAATGATGCTAATGCTTTTTTAGTGTTAGATATGCAGGTATTATTTCGAATTTTCTAAAAGTTAGGATAAATAAACCATGATGTTTTAGTCCTTAGTCTAAAATCCAATCATATAACTTCGGCTAATTACTTGTAATCGCTCTGAAGTCATAATAAGTTGAACATGTTCAGCTATGAGCAAAAAAATCATGTTTAATATCAGTTAAATCTGTAGTTTATCAAAATTAATGACTGCTTATATTAGCAGTTATATGAGATATGAAAGAAACTCTAGGAGGCCGTTTTATCCATAAGCAATTCTCTGCGATAAAATAACACAAAGAAGAATGGTTGGCATACGAATAATACAGATTATTACCATAGTTCTAAATAAATAAATGCGCAAAAATTTAAGAAATTAATTGACCATCGTAGATGGGATTATTACGCCGAAAAGTTAACTTTAGAATTATGAATATGTAATGTATACCTGAATTGAGGCAGGGAGAATAAGAAGTGGCATCGTAGTCTATATAATTCATAAACTCATTTGATTTCAGTATGATATAGAAAGAATAAGAAATGAACCAAATAAATCATCTCAGGATAGAAAATAAATGTAATTAAAAACAATAAAATTGGTAACTTGAATCTCAATAAAGAAAACGATAAACACAGCACTGACTGCACTGTACAATATAGATAAATATAAACCTTTGTCCCTGAAGCGTATCAAGCTAGTAATGAAACTTGAACTTACTTAGTCTGGATGCACAAATTCAGTTTTTTATTTATTTTGTAAGCCACTTAATACCTGACTGGTTTATCTCTGACTTGTCTGCTTAAACAAGAATATGGATGATCAAATGATTATGAGTCTTCACTGTACTTAGTGAAGCCGAGAATCATTCATGGAAACAAAAAGTAGTGTCATGATATCGACCATATCAGCTTGCATGAATAAGTTGATTGAAGTGATTTCAACTAAATCATATTAAATATTTGAAGTAATCAACTTGTTGCATTTGGTATCCGTTAAACTAGATCGAACGCTATTTAAATCGTTTCTTTTGAATGCACATCGTCCTTACAAATGTATTAACATTTATTCTATTCATTAAATACTTTTTAGTTATAGTTTTATGATTTATTTATTGATGAATTCCTGAAGGAATATTTTCAGGTTGAAATTTAAAAGTTATTGATATTTTGATCACAAAAAGGGTTTGAAACATTGAAAGTTTTAAAGCTTAGAAAAACTAGTGATCTGTCATGTTAAAATGGCTTACTTATCCAGTTTATTCATATATTTGCCCTACTACTTTTATTTACTGTCAGTTTCATAGTTTTTGATAATTTGTATTGAGGGTATCAATAATTTATTATCTTTCTATTTGTGCATACAATGATTAGTTCTTGAACTGAAAAGATATTGAGATTGTTTTTTTTTCTACATACAGATCAGCATATTTGAAGTTAGACAGTCGAGAGGTTCATTTAGTTTCAACATTCCATTAATCACTTATTTCCGTAAACAAATATGTCATTTGATTTGTAATGACAGTTGCAATGGTCTTACCCCAGATCAATAAAGTTTACTGATATTTCTGTTATTGAAATTATTAGTCTTTAGCAATATATAATCATGTGTTTTATTTTTTTATATGAAGCAGTTATATTTGTTCTAAGAATAAAAATTCTGTCGTTATACATCAAATGAAGTTTTCTTTCCATCCTTCATCATTATTTGATAAAATATTATGAAAGATGAAAGAATTTTCCGACATGAAAATTACACACGAAAGTAACATTTAACATTATTAAAAAAAAGTTATAATGAAGTACACTGAGGATAAAAATATACTTTTAAAAAAAACAATTTATATACCAACATGTATTAAGATAGAATTGCATAGAATTGAATAGTTACTTTTACAACTATAAAAAAAGTTAAGAAAATTACGTTTATGCGAGATGTTATCTGAAGTGAGTTAGAATAAAATGTAAATTTGTTAAACTAATGTAGGATAAGTGATAAACCTTATCTTAAAAAAAAACATTTACATGTATTTCCTTTGATATTTGTATTTATTCTAAAATTTTTAAGATTCAAACAGTCGTAATAGAGCAGCTTAGTGTCATGATCATAGATATCATTAAAAAATAATGATAATAATTGCAAAACTCATGATAGGCTTAAAATTTATTTAGTTATAGTAGCTGGTAATCATGAACTTTTATTTAAAGTATTTTGTCGGTGTTTGACTTGTAAATATTTCTTGTTAACATAGCAGAAAATTCCATTTCAAAGATTTTTCTATTTTTTTACAGACAGTTTACAGATATTATAGTATTTTTTTTAAATTTATTACATTATATTTTTTAGAAAGTAAATTTTAAAAAAATTCTAGTATTTTACGTAGGGTGAAGCTGTTGGATGTAAGATTTTCTTTGTTAATTTTGATTTTGTGAAATGAGGATGATAAAAAACTTCCAATTTCAATCATATTAAAGGCAAGCATCAATATTGATGACATTCATTTCCAGGTCTTCAATTTCATGTGTATTTGAGTGTTGAACATTTTCATAGAAAACATCATTTCGTTCACTATGTGACTGACAATTAATTGGCCAATGTCTATCCTTTCGTTTGAGGGTTTATTCTTATATATTTTCATATTTATTTAAATATTTATTTCATTTTCATAAAATGTAATGCTCTTGCACAATGAATGTGTATCGTAGTAGTACTTTTCGTTAGTTATAAATTGACTTGATTTGAAAACTTTGACTAGCTAATTAGAGCTGAGTAAATTAAACCTTTTTCGGTATTTCTAAATTTTTTTTTTAACTTTATTTAGAAAGATATAATCACATTGTATCTTTAAAACAATTCTAAAACCTATCATGACGTAAACTGTTTATTTTCTTTTTCCATTAATCTATTCAAATTTTGTCTGATAATAGTCGAAAATTGTAGAGTCACAATTTAATTAATTTTCATACATTTATTTTTCTCAATTTTCCAGCTAAATAATATAATTGGATTATGGAACAGAGAGTTGCTTGATCTACCAATTTTCTTTCAGACAAATCCAATGACAAAAGAAGCTATCTGTTAGAAAATTCTATTTATAAATCGTTCAATGTTCCTGTCCAATAGCATATATATATATATGGTATGCGAATTTCTTAACGCATATCACCACAGTGTCAAGATCGCTTGCTCAATAAAAGACCATCCACTGCAATGCTACGCTTCAAAAGTTATGTAGCTTGTTTTTGATTATTGAACATATATTCTTCTTCATGTACAGCCGTTGTAACTATCAAATAAATAGTATGCCGAATTAAAATTTCAGTTAATCAGATGTATGATGAATTCATTTAAATATTTATTAAAGATGTCGCGGTATATTTATTTGTGTGTACAGATTTTATTTTATTAGAAGTTATTTTTTCTCTCCTCATTATTATTTTTGTTTTTAAGTCTTTCAATGATTCTTCAATTTTTAATTTGTCTGTTTTATTTCTTCAGTGATTTTCTCTAGATTTTCAAATAAATTGTATTTCAACAAAAGTAAATTATAAAAATTGATACTGGTAATGTATACGAATTAAATATTCAAAATATGAAATAATTATGAAATAAAGTAATAAATGAAATTTATGATTAAATTTTATTGATAAAATATAAACATTCGTCCATATGAAAATTTTCATTTCTCTAAGTATTTAGTATTCATTTTGATTTTCGTTCCAAATTCTAGCTATAATCTAACGATCTTTAATAAAAGATTGATGCTTCACTGTGATTTTTTGCTTTTGAAACCTTAAGTGCACAATTTTTATGAAATCATCGTATATGCTCATGAATATGTTTCTCATAGACTAATTTTACTAACCAGGTTATATGATATTTTGAAGCTATTTGATATTTTAAAAATATCATTAAACACAAACACAATTTTAAATCAACAAATCTTCAGCGGATTTTTTAGGTAGTTAGGGCCAAATCGAAATCTGCATACAGGTAATCTTGAAGAATACACTTATCTCACCTGCAATGTTTTATAAACGTGTCCCATCGGGTCACATTTCTAGAACTTGAAATAAGCCTATTTCATCTATTGTTGACTTGATTTAGCATTGATATAATTTTATACAATCACTTAATCATAAACAGTGTAAGGCTAACATATATGTCCACCGGTTCAATTCACTATACGACTTTAGCGAGATGAAATCACAATAAATCCTAGAGTAGGGTAGTTAAGAACAGTATTAGGAACTACGATCTTGATTTGGTAGTCTGGCGTACCTATCGTGATATTTCAGTTAAGCTTTATTAGCTTGAACACTTGTTTCTTTAGCACCTGACACCACAAGCTTACCTGTTGGATAATAAGTATACTAAAAGTAGCAACTTCAGATCCATAGGCGTTGCGATGTTGCTTATTTTGCTGATTTGTGTTAGCGGTAAAATATCTATCTCACGCAAATAGCATCTAAAATGATCCTTTCTTTCAGCAACAAAAACAGTGAATCAAAATAAGTTGAAACTGAAAGCAGCGCACATCAGCTTTTCTCACAGATTTCTGTAGCCTAGATTATGACTTGAAAAGTGTTAAATTTAAAAATCTTAACCGCCAAAAAAAAGAATTCTGCTTGACTAACCCAAAGCAATCGTTACTTGGGTCCCACTTAGGTACTTCCAAGTCGAAGGGGACAGTCTACACTCAACGCTTTTCAAGTCCCTCAGTGCGTAATTTGAGCACTTCGGTAGCAACAACCTTCCTGATAGTCCTAACATATCTTGAGTTAAGATCATTTCGCAGGATGAAAGTCAAATTAGCAAGAGGAAAAATAGTAAATATATCAGTGTTATAAAAAGATGATCTTTTTTTGAAGAGTTACGCTTAGGTTGTTTTAACTTTAGAATGAATGTAAACTAATGCTGTTTGACAGATTAAGTATAGTAATGGAAATTATAAAACAAATCATATTTGTTCTATGTGATATGACCAATTTCAACTAGTGAACATTTAAATTAGATATCTTTCAGCGTAATAAACAAATCACATGGCCAAACAAACAATTGAGGCAATCAGATACATCAATAATGTTCATAAACTTAAATATTAAAAGTAATACTATAAATATTATTTCAGTGTCACTTGATGTCATCGATCAATAATGAGTGGTTATGTAAAAATGACACTAATCACAATGAGTCCCTTGATAGGATTACTAAGAATAGTCATAATATCAATTAAATTAAACATAGAAAGCGCTTCGCATAGGAATAAATTACATCTAGGTTTTTTGAAACATTTAAAAGCGAAATAACCAATTACAGTGAATAGTTTTTGTAAAAAAAAATAGTAATATCTCAAAATTAAATCCTGATCGTAATAGTTCATGAAGGAAGTTTTTCTTAGTTTTTTAAGAGTTGATTTATCTATTTTAATTTTCAACTGAAAATATTTAATTGATGAATTTATCAGCTCAATAAAATCTGACATGAACTTTTAAAAGTTTAAATTTTAGTTATCTATTTATGATTAAAACTATAAAAGATGCTTCTGATCCGTTTTTTTATCAAGTTTTTGTTCAGTGTATCAAATAGATCATGAGGCATTTTCTATGTGTATCGGTTCTCTCTAAATGAATAGCGTATTTATTTCTTGAAAGAAAGGTAAATATCAACTGTAAAATATAAAAATTACAACCATCTAAATTTTCTTTGATTTTTAAGTATTTTACATGTTTGACATCTTTGATAACGTTTTATGCTTAGTTCCTTCTCACCGATCGCTTGTAACTTTACTGAAGAATACACATCTAAATTTATTGATGATAATGAGATGATTTTTATACAAGTATTCATCCTGTTCCTTGTTTTTCTTTATCCAATTCATTTTGTTAAATTTTCAAATCTTTATCTTCTTTTTTTTCAGATTATAAGTTCAATGATTGCCATTAATTAACTTTAATCAATCAATAAATTAATTAAAAATATTTTTTATGATTTCATGCATGATAATTACTCACCGAATTTTAGGATTATGAAAATCAATTCAAATGATTTGTAAAATTGTTAACTGTGAGAAAGAAAAATTGATAAGAGAATGTATAATGCTTCTCATACAAAGGTCTAAAATAAGTTCAGAACGAAAAGCAGAGAAGTTATGAATATCTCAGTGATATACTCGAAACTATTACGAGTTCACCTTACTCGGTAAAAGGAACAAAGATCAACGATAAAGTGACAAGATAGGCTTTTCTAATCCGCTTGTTCCAGTCTCTCCTAACTAGATCAGAGAGTATTAATAAGGCGTAGAGAGAATGCACACAGACACCCAGAAAATACGAGGTTGCTAAGAGCACAACTCAAGCTTATTTGTACACTGATAGAAACGCCTTTGAGAGAGCCACAAAATAACGTAATACAATTTTCCGCCAACCAAGGACAGTCGAGGGTTTTCCGAGGAGGAAATGTAAGCTGAAGGTCAACTAAGAGCTTTCGGCGCGAAAATACAGAAGTTCAAAATTTCAGAAATAAATTCCAAGTGCTTTCTGGGGATCGAACGTGCCCAAAACAACTCCCCTTTTTGATAGCCTGCATTTCTGCGGTCGACTTGCAACTTAACTGTTGTTCGCCGCTGTCTGAGAGGATACCTTCTGGAACGGAGATCAGCTTGTTGTTGAGCTTTTTCTCATGATGGGGCTACGGGTAAGTTAAGAGTATCTATCACGATATCGAGAGGAAGACTTGTTTCTCTTAGTGGGCGATCTGGGGCTAGCCGTTGACATATCTGATTTCGATGGAATGACCACCTTTCGCCTCCTACCTCTACTTCGTACATGACACATTCAACTCTTCTGACCACTCGCGCTTCTGTCCATGGACCATGGGTTGGTCTGTAGTCACGGGCAAACACGAGACACCCCACTTCTTACGTCGATCGCATTTGAGACTTTGTCTGCACTGGTGTCGGTGCACTACTCTGATGCACCACGTCGTGAATCGTTTTCAGTCTTCTTCCCATCAGGGTTTCTGCTGGAGAATTTTTCTCCGCTAACAACTCATTTGGTGTTGTTCGATAAACGTACTAGATATTTTGCAACGCGTCCGCTGCTGTTCCCTATCATTTTGACATAACCAATGATCTTTCAAACGTATCCACAAATCTTTCCGCTTGCGGTTTCGACTGCGGGTGGTATGGTGGTGCTTGATGGCTAGCCGTTGACAGAATACTTGGAATTAGCTAGAGGTAATTAGCGAACCGTTGTTAGATACAAATACATTCGGCATGCCATTTCGGGAGAAAATTTCAGTGAGGAGCCGTATCTTTTTAGTTCTCGTTGGCGGCATAACAGGGCTGTGAAGGCGTTGACTACAACTAAATACATAGTTCCATTATTCTGGCCCGTGAAATAGACGTGTATCCGGGATCAAGGGTGATAAGGTTATGGCCATGAAACCGGCAGAATCTTTGCATTCATTTTTGACGCTTGCTGACACTGCATGCATTTTCTAACCAAGTCAGTGATATGTGGAACCATCAGGGGCCAGTATGCATAACTCCTGGCTATGGACTCCATTCGTTTAACCCCTGGATGACAGAGGTGCAACTGTCTCAGTAATTTTGGCCGAAGGGTTTTTGACACAACCACTATTTCTCCGAACACCGAGCAGTCGTTTACAAGATATAGTGAATCTTGCCTCTGGTACAGTTGCTTCATGTCACCATCAAACGTCTTAGACGACCGACCGTTGATGACATAGCTCATCGTCATCTTGATGATGGGGTCGTTCTTAGAAACGTTTTGTATGTCTGTTGTAGATACCGATAATACCCCTATTGCGGTTGTCAGAAAACTTTCCGCGTGGTCTTCCAATGACAGAGATGCGATTACCATGTTATCCTCGGCCGCCACTTGATCAATAATGAGTCGTGATAAAGCGTCTGCCTGATCGAATTGTAGGAAGCGTCAAAATAATATCCCAAAAGTACCAAAGCCCATCTCTGAAGATGATTTTCAGAATTGGTTGGAATGCCCAATTTTGACCTGAAAATTGCTAGCAGAGGCTTTTGATCTGTGAGGAGCGTGAATCTTTGACCGGACAGAAACCTGTGGAAACAGCGGACGGCAAACACAAGGGCAGGAGCCTCTTTCTCTGTCTGGCTGTATTTCATTTCCGTCGGGGTCAGTGCGCGGAATGTATGCATAATATTTTCACACTACAATCTGAAATAATAACTTGTGCGAATAAACTACATATTGTGGAACTCCTGCTTGTATCAAAAATACGAAGCATTGTCCAATATTGAATGAGAGGTTAGTTATTTATAATTTTTGGATTCTTGGTAAGCTTCCAGTTGAATTCAAGAGCCAACAAATGAAAATATATAATATATAATATATATATATATATATATATATATATATATATATATATATATATATTAAATATATATTTATTCGGGCTTCCTAAAAATTACAATGAAGCCTTTGGAGACTCTCAGGAATCCAAGCAGTTTCCTCACATTACAGCCGAACAGAAGTTTTAGAATATGAATGTAGCATACGCTGACTGGAAAATTATGTATAATCGCTGTTCGCGGACAGATGTT